TCTCTCCTGCTTCCAAAAAATTCTATTGTCTCTATATCACTACTATTAAACTTCTATCTAATCTAAATATTTCTAGATTAAACATTTTGCAGACGGTAGCTTATAGTTACATGAATGAGTAACTATAAGCTACCGTAAAGAGTTAAGTGAAAAAATACCTTAAGAATTTGAAGTTCCAGAAACATGCATAAATATATGAAAGATGCGCAATTTAGTTTAAAGTCAGCATATTGTATAGAATACATATTTTAAAGAGCATTAACTTTCCTTTTTAACCCAGTTCTTATGAACATTACTGTACTTGTAATGCAGCTGTTAATCAGCTTTCTGATTCATAATGAATGAAAGATTTTGACGTGCCGCCCAACCAGGATAATTGTTAGTGACTCTGTGTGCCGTACCTGAGTTTGAATCCTGTAGAAGGCATGAATGTTTATTAATGTATAATGCCTGTGCAGTAAAGAGGCGGCCGAATATGTGGCGAGCCGAAAGTCTTCGCGAGAGGTTGGTAGTAGGGGAAGAGGGATGGAAGACTTTTGGATATACGAATCTAAACAAAAACACAAAACAGAAAATAAAAACGAAAAGAACGAAATATTTCGTCATATGACAGAATGTGTAAATTTTACACTGTCTTCCATAAAGTTTCTCAAATCGAATTTAACATTCTTTCTAATATCGCGACGTCTAATTTTTAATACCAATTTAGTCTAAAATAAGACAAAATTTTCCATGTAAGCAAACAGGACAATTTACACTGTATTTCAGAAAACTTATCAAATGGAATTGAACATTCTTTCCAACACCACAAGAGCAGAAGAAAATGAAACATTCTTTTATCTTGGAAAAAATGCGTTGTACGCTATTTTCTTGATTATTTCATCACAATGTATCCAGCGGAACAGAGGCATGTCATTCTCAATTGAGATTTTAGCAAGAAGGGTGGATAAATGAAAATCTATCGACTCTGTGCTCGTGACGAAATCAAATATAAGTGCGTGTGAACAGTCCTTGCAGAAGCGCTAAATGAGAAGCGGCACTTGAGCTTGCGTGATAGATAATCAGTGTCTAAAACAGTTTAGTTGAAATACTCAGCACTTTCGTAAATAGGAAAGAAGCATGTGGATGAAAAGATCGTGAAGCTAGGAGATGAGATCTTCGAAAATTACGATAGAGATGTCATTGTTTATTGCTGATGAATGTAGTGTTATGATGAGGTAGAAAATTTTTCCGGAAGTAAAAAGAACTTTAGTGAATACTACTTTACTGAGCTTCAATTTTTATAAAATGAAATCTTTCCAAATAGAAATTGCTCCTGAAAATTTGATGAAAAGTTGTGAAAGAATAGTTAAAGAACTATCGTGTAGTGATAAATTTCTTTAATTGTAATTGCGCAAATGATACCCAGTGTATGGTTTATGATATGCATTAGATTCCATCCATAGGGAAACTTCATCAAATATGATACGGAAGCGAATGGTCATAGACGACTGTCGTAGAATATTTGATATGTTAAAACGAAATAGTTTGTTTGAAATTGTGGAACTGAAAAAATGATGTGAAAATGACATCTGAAATTTAATTCAGCGCTAAGTCTTGGATGTTAATCTTGTTGTTATGAGTATTACAATTTTATTCTTTTAATGCAATACAATGCCAGTGTGCACTGCTCAATGCATTTTTCAGAATTTCGAAATGTTTCACACAATAAAAGAACTTTTAATTTTTGTATATACAGTGTATTGTCGATTACCCGGGAAGGGATTATCCGGTTTGTTATTTATCCGTGCGTGGACGTGTCCACAAATGCACATTCAAGCCTATGCGCGAAATTGGGTTTAAAAACATTAATGGCAAATACAAGCATCGTTTCAATTCATAACGTTTTCTTTTTTTTTTCTTTTTTCTTTTGTCTAAGCATTTTATACCTGTATTCTTCTCATTTTTAAAAAGCTCATTTAAAATTTTGGAACTGAAAATTGAGTAAAAAGCACGTTACAAGTACTAAGCGCAAAAAATTTGTTTTATCATTAAAACAGAAACTAATGAAAGTCAACAGACAATAAATCTCGCCGAAGAATATAGAATTGACGCCCAAAATTGTTCATGATATATATATATCTAAAACAAATGATAGAAGCTTTCACAAGAGACTGTGACACTGCGGCAGATTCTTCTAACCGAAAGATTATAAAACTCTCAACACACAAAAGCTTAGATTCAACTGTGCCCGACATTAGTCTTGAAATAGCAATAATTTTTGTTGAAACTCGATTGGACTTCATCCAACAAAGTGGTTCGAATACAGTGATAAAATACCACCTAAAAAAATTTTCAGTGGAATCTGAATAATATTTAAACGTTTTCAAAAACATTCCCTGCATTAATCTGGATAAACTAAAGTAGACTAAATGTGTGAAAACAGATATAACATTCACTGATCCTTTGCATTTAATTTTATGCTTCAGTATCATGTGGAAATAATTTTTAATATTAATATAATCATGATTAAGAACAATGCATGGTGACTTAAAACTCTAATATTTAATTGAATGTTATAAATCAGATTGAATGTTATAAATATATATATATATATATATATATATATACTAATTTCCGAACAATAGCGATAATTACTTGTTTTTTCAATTTTAATTTCTTTTTCAAAGTTTGAAATTATGTTATTCATGATTTAAATTCAAGTCCCCTTAAAACGTTTTTTTTTTTTTTCATGATTTACATTGAAGTTACTTTAAAACTCAATTTTCGGAATTAAACTTCCTACATATGGGTTCACTCTTTTTTGATACATTCTACTAAATGTATATTAGGAGATAATATAATCAATATTTCTTTAGTATATACATATATATACATATAAATATATAAATACTATATATATATATATATATATATATATATATTAGTACATATACATACATACATACATACGTACATATATATATATATGTAATAATAAAATTCCATAGTCAAGAATACACTTAAAATTCTAACTGTATGTTCTTTTCATTTTTTGATGGCGATGGTCTCTTATTTGAAAGTACGTGGAATTAAATCCACAGCCCCGTAGTCAAGTTGTTTTTTCCCGCCTTTTCTACACATACAGTTATAGAATGTTCTGGAAATATTTAAAGTGAACTGGATTGGCTGACGTCATTTCTTGGAAGCTCCGCCATTCCAGAGGCTATAAAAGGACTCCCAAAGGAATATCGGGGCTTTTTCTTAAATGTCACGATGCAGTAAACTTCATACAAAAAGTTATTAGTAATTCTTTTTTATTTACTCCGGAGATCTTAATTTTTGTAACTGCTATTTCTCCTGACCAATAATAAATGGATCCTGTTTTTTAAAACTTATCGTCTGATAATTTAAGCTACGACTACATCTATATTTTTTCAACGATCTATTTATTCTGGATAAAAGCTGATACATCACATATATATATATAATACACTTTTCTAAAAACTAATAAAATCATGCCTGGTATTTTCGCGCATTAAGCTGCTGAAAAATATCAGTAAAGACATAAAGTAAGAAATCTAGAACCAATTTTACAAAGATCTCAAATTTTGGTCTTCGTAAAATTGGTTCTATATTTCTTACTTTGTGTATATATATATACAGGGTGATTCTAAATTGTTTTTACAAATTAAGAGGGGTGATAGTACTTATGCAGATGAGCAATAATTACTATAGAAACATAGGGTGGCATTCCGTTGTGATTATTTCTTAAAACAGCCATCATATTTTGTTAAAGCTTACACACATATATAGATATATAGCTATATATAGACATAAGTTCAGAAATTTTAAATTAAGATTATAAATTATTAAAGTATAAAGGAAAATCAATTTAATATTCAAGAAATGATAATTAAATAGAAATTAGGGCATTAACCGTCTAACAGGAGGTACATGTATTATAAATGAAACAAAAACAAAATAACTCAATAAAAATAATATAATAATATAAAACAAAAAATTATTGAAAATACTTTGGTCCTTTTCAGGGAGCAGCCGACGAATTCTTAGTAAGTTATATGTAACTGCAGTTCCTTCAATTCAAATTAAACAAAAAATATTACAAGTAATATTTCATACTTAACATTCGATGTAACGAAATTGATGAGGAAGTACACTTGTAGAGATTGTCCCTAAGATACCAGTGTATTCTAATTGTTCATATTAGGGAGTGTAAGTAAATACTTTTTCAGAAGTTAAACCCTCATGATACCTGTGCAGCCTAATTTCAGAAGAATTGCCCTAAAGATATAACGGTAACTATTTTCCATTTAATTAAAAAAAATCCATCCCCTATTTCATAACAACTATTAGCATTATATTACTTAAAATGATAAAATCTTTAGAATCTGCAGCAGAATGAAATCTTTAAAGAACTTTTAAAGCCACTTACATACTTCGAAAATGTATCAAGAAAAATAAATAAATAAACGTATTTCCTGTTCATAAATCCAATTATTGACCTAAACAGAAAACATTGCCGTACTCAACTACATATGGATTAAAATGAATAGATTAAAAGGATAGATTAAAATGAAGATTTTTATATTTGTGTTTAGATGTAGATTAAAACACTGCAGATAGAACATTAATTCTTGCTTGAGTAATTTTATTTGACTTAAAGCACTCGTTAAGTATGTTACTGCAAATTAGAAATCCACTTCAGTACTTTCCAATTTCAGGAATTTTTTCCTGAGATACATGGATCCATGGATTATCCATCCGTGAAATGAATTCATGGATTATTTATTTCAAATTAAAATTTCTTTAAAAGTTTGTATTTCTGAAACGTTTTATTTTGCATATACTTATGCAACAATCGATAGGTTACAGTTTTAAAATAGATATAGATATGTTGCAGTATTTTCCTTGATGTACAATAATTTTATTTGTGACATATATGTAGCATTTTGATTTTTGTCAAATTACATCATATAATTGTTTTTCATTCCTTTCAGTTCCGCCCAAAGAAACTATTATTCTGGATACAGACAACAATGAATTATCAGGAGTTATTGGCCCTTACGACGAAGGTTCCGAACTGAAACTACGGTGCGAATCTATGGGAGGTAATGAAAATTTTCTCTAGTTTCATTTCAAACGTTTTTCTGCTTTTATCTCAAATGAGAAAAATGCTTATATATTACTATTTATAAATACCTGGCTTTTCACGGTTAATCCATCAGCCGTATGTTTTTCGGTACATTTCTGAGCTAGAATTAAAATGTTAAGTGCAGAACACGAGATTAACCTTTTCTTTTTTTAACCTACGAGATATTATTATCCAGAGCAGAGATGGGCAACTCTCTTATGGGATCGGTTCATAGCGGTTTCAGAACTGTTTACTCATTGAAAGGTAACAGTTATTTTTTATAACTCAGCGCTCACTAATAATAACATTGATGAAGAAGGTCGGGAACGACGGATGAATCAAGAACGGTAAGCAAGGATTGAGTGAAGAACGGAAAAATCGAACCAGTGAGATCGGGTCAAGGACCAAGGAAGGAATTTGAGGAGTACTTACGCAGAAAACCTTTGCCTCCCCATTAACAAAAGAGGAATATATTACTTCTCTTCAGAAATAATATTGCAGTAGCTGCCTGTAGTATATCCATGATTATTTTTCGTTTTTTACTGTAACCGCGTCCTTCGGAAATCAAATTATTCGTATAATTTTCCCACCTTCATGTTTTTGACAAAATAGGTATAAAATATAGGAAAAATAAGCTAGATACTTGCAGTCTTGCAATTTACATATGAAATATGACGATATGTAGCAAAATAATATAGGAAAACAGGGTTCCATAACCATAAGTTCGATGTTCAAAATTTCAAACATATTAACTGAAGCTACAGCGGTTGTCTTTATATACATGCTCAAAATTATTTCTTTAAACCGTCGTAAACTTAATAATTACTACATACATAAATGTGTAATTACTTATCTTAAATTTCTAAAGCTTTTTCTACACAAGAAGACAAATCTCAGAAAACGTCTCCCTCGCACACATGTCTACTGACATCATTTCATCTGCTTAGGCAGATTTTTTGTCGAGTTCGTCTCAGCTTACTAAGCCAATCAAAGTAGTCTAAGTAGATTATTTTAATGCTATTTTAGAAATTTGATTACTTTATACATACCATAAAATATAACAAAATATTGCTAATAAGTAGATTCATAATAAAGCATCATGAAAGAAGGAAAATAAATTTTATCACTATAAATAACGTAAAGGTCTAAAAATTATTTTTATAGTATATAATTAATATAAAAATATTACATCAGTATATAAATGATATAAATTTTATGTATAATAATAAAATAACTAAAATTATTATATGTTACGGTTGAAAAAATGAATAATTTTTATATTAGCATAATTTTATTGACTGCAGAATTGCAGGAAAAATAAGACATTTATTTCCATTAGCAAAAACCAGGACATACAGGGGTTCGACGAAAATATGGAAACACCTTTAAAAAAACATGTTTCTTTGCTTAATATGGTGTAGGAAACCCGTTGGCATCCAAAACAGCTTGCAGTCTTCTCGGAATGGATAAATACAGTTCCTGTATGTTTGCCAAGGGAATATTATCCCATTCTTCCTGCAAAACGGTGGCAAGTTCAGATAACGATGTTGGCGGTGGATAACGAGAACGCACTTTCCGTTCCAATGTAGACCACGAAGGTTCGATAATATTCAGGTCTGGTGACTGTGATGGGCAGGGAAGATGGGACAACTCATCCTCGTGCTCAGAAAACCAGTCCTGGACAATGTGAGCTGTGTGAACAGGGGCTTTGTCGTCTTGGAAGACACCATCACCATCGGGGAACAAAGTTTGTACCATGGGATGAACTTGATAGGCCAAAATGTTCACATAAGTCTTGGCAGTCATGTGCCCTGACACAATTATCATGGGGCTAGCAGAGAACCACGATATGACTGCCCAAACCATAACAGAACCCCGCCATGTTTCACTCTTGGCAACAAGCAGTCTGTATTATAGGCTTGAGATGGCGTTCTTCAGACGTAAACTCGGCCAGAAGTGGGAAAAAATGTGAAAGAAGACTCGTCAGACCATATTACTCGCTTCCACTGCTCTATAGTCCAGGCTTTATGACTTAAACACCACCTTTTCCTGTTGGCATTAGCATCACTGATGAGTGGCTTCTCAATTGCAGCACGGCCAGCAATTCCCTGTTTATGAAGCTCCCTTCTAATTGTTTTGGTACTCAAAGGGTTCGGTAACACAACATTCATTTCAGCAGTAACTTTTGCAGCTGTGGTCTTCTTATTTTTTCGTCACAATTGCCCTTAATGATCGTCTGTCACGATCACTCAGGACATACTTTCGTCCGCGCTGTGATTTAGCAGATGATGTTTTTCTGCTTTTCAAATATGCGGAATAAATCTTCGATACAGTACCTCTTGAAACACTAAACGCCTCGGCTACCTTGCTTACGGAAGCACCTACCATACGTGCTTCAACAATTTGCCCATGTTCGAAGTCTGTTAACTCTGACATAATGCAATGACAACCTCAGATAACAGTACTCCGACAACAACTGATCTGTTTAGCACATTTACGAAGTTGTATAGGTGGCGTCAGTAGTCAAAAACGCCAGCGCCACCTACATATTTCATTAAAATCAATCTTTCTTTTCAAACATGCATTTCACAAGGTGTTTCCATAGTTTTGTCCATCCACTGTAGCTCACCTGTATTCGAAATTACACCCTGCTGGCTCATGGAAAATTTAAACACTTAACTAAATTCGCCAAGACAATCAAGCTAGGTACACTTAGGGTAAAGGTTTAAAAATCATTAACAAAAGGAAATCGGAAATACACTCGGGCACAAAAAATAAGCAGAAAAAGCTAAAAGAAAAGATACAAATGTAAAAGGGAATAAAAAGATACAGTTTACGTATGAGGTAGAGGTTGTATCGCCGAATGCAAATAGACAACCAAAATGAGCATAAAACGCAATCCCGCAATCACGCCACAGCGACTTAAGTGGCGTTATGGTGCGGCTGCGAACTTGAGGTGTGATTACGGACTTTTGCTACAGTTCACTAGCAGTTACAGTTCCGTGTAGTCCGAGATAGCCAAAGCGGAGAGAATGAGCCGAAGACACCATTTGCACGATGAAATGCTTTCGAAGGCTGTCGGAATTTTGCAAGCTGGAGCAACACAATCCGCTGATGCGAGAGATCTGAATGTGCATTTATTTTAGTGTCGTCAATAAGCTGTGAAATCGTTACCAAAGGGATCAAAACCCATGTAGAATACGTGGGTCTGGACGCTGGAGAATTACCACAACAACAGACGATCGCTTCCTGTTTGCTGTGTTCAAGACGCCGTAGATCAATAACAGCAGAACAACTGAGGTATCATCTCTGTGCTGCTGCAGGATGGCTTAGATCCCGCCAAACGCATAGACTGCATGAATGTGGTCTGTACGCCCGAAGACCAGTAGCTCGTGTTACTAACGCACACCCAGAACGATTGAGCAATGATGCGACAAAAAACCAGGGACACACTATCGTGCGCCAAATAACGTCGACAGAGAACATTACAAAGAACAAGACTTCTTTATATGGGCTGGAAGTTCAAAGGGCGAGCCGCATCGACATTTATGTGACTCCTGGTGGTTCCCTCACAGCCTTCCGATATCACGAAGAAATGCGAATGGGTGCTAATCTCACAACAAGTGACCAACGACACTGTTGCCAGCTTACCTTGCCTTTGTCAAGCAAGAATTTCAGCTAGAGACTATCATATCCGTTATTAGCATAATATTTCCATTGCAAATTCTTCCGACCCATCTGGTCTTTTGCAATGTCATGGTGGTAATACATGCGTTTTTGTATGTATATGCTTTATTTTATTGTTTGATGTGTGGTTTAGTAACGCCACACCAACCTCTTGGATCAATTTCACCTAATATCCATTCAATATTTTTTGTTTTAGTCCGTGTTTTACTTCTGGGAACATAAGAACAGTAATCGCCTTAAACAGGAAACGATATCGATATTCTAGCGTATTTAGTTAATGTTAACGAATGAGTTAAAAACGTATATTCGCTCTGAGCTTACAATAGCAAATTACTTGAATCAAGGTGAAAACATATTCTATTCATAAAGAAATCAATTGGAAATTACGATACGAAATAAATATTGCATCATAAATTAATTAAATTTGTTAGAATAATAACAAAATCTCCAAATGATTCGCAAATGAATCTCCCAAAATCTCCAATAATCCAAATTATTCCATGCTACTCAGCAAACTAAACGTTAAGAATAGCCGGCACTGCTTTTGGGACACTTGATTTCCATACGCAGTTTCACTGGATGTCACCAAAATTGCTGCGACAGTGTATCCCATCATGCGCAGTGATCACTTACGCCGTGCAAGAGCTGGACACATATACCTGAAATGCATGAGATATATTTCCCTGTATAGACGGACTAGCGCTGGTACCGCAGACTGCAGAGATACTTGCTTAGAGATATACAAGAGATGACATGCGTTATGTTGCCAAAATGATGTGTTCTGTTTAGATGGTATCTGCTGGTTTAGATGAAGCTTAAATTATTTTATTACTTAATCTAACAGTTTTATGCTGCTCTTATATAACGAAATATCGTTTGAATAATGTTAGCATACAGTTAAGATAAATTACAGTATGATTTTAATCAGATCAATAAAGTTATTTAGGAATTTTTGTATATGTTTAAATAATTTTAGTGAAGTTATTCTTAAAATTGTAGTATTTTTGTATAATGTAAAATGAAACTTTGCAGAGGCGGAGCTTTGCTGGAAAAATACCTATTCAGGGGCAAATTTATTTAGTGTTGAGTAAATGGCTATCTCGTTAAACTGGCGAGATACAACAAGCTAACGATAACTTTGGCAACTAATTTTTGTTGCCAAATCAGTAAAAGTCACCAAACTGGGCGACATTTTGATCCGGTCACTCTAGGGTATTGTAACTGAATAATTGTAATTGATGCTGTATCCTGTAAATATATCTGTCCCTCATATGCTTTACAGTCATTTTG